AGTTCAATTTTCAAGATTTTAGTATTTCTCCTTTTTGAGTTATCGCCATTTTTAATATCCAAAAGTGGATTTTTTTATTATTTTTCTCTTGTTATCATATTATGACTTGTCTTATCTCACAATAAAAATTGGAGTGACAGATTTATTTGAAAATTTTCTATTTCCTAAGTCATGTAAGTGGTGATGATTATAAGCTATATCATTAGACATTTTGAAGTTAATTACATTATTAATTATTAATTAGATCTTGGTTATATCTTAGCATATGATAATCATTGGAGTGACAGATTTATTTGAAAATTTTCTGTTTCCTGATAATTAAGATCTGTAGGACTGTATATATAAAGTTTGAAATTTACTAGTAGGACTGTATAAATGAAGTTTGAAATTAACTGTTCATTATTAGACATTTTGTAGATAATTAAATCTCCCTAAACCATATATATTCTTACCCCCACTCCCCTTCAATTTGAGAATGTGCTTTTATCTTGTAAACTGTTGAGATCCCCACCCTAAACCATATATATTCTTGTATTGAACAATAAAACAAATCAAATGAAATATTGGGGGAGTCCCCTGGTTCACCCCCACCCCCCTTCTTTTTGATAACTTGTAAATGGTCAAGATCCCCACCCCGAAACCATATATATTCTTGTATGGGCCAATAAAACAAATTAAATGAAATATAGGGGAAGTCCACGAGGGTAACCCCCACCCCCCTTTTGAGAACTTGTAAACTGTTGAGATCTCCACCCCTAAACAACCATATATTTTCCTGTTTGTCATTTCAAGAAGATTTGAATGACATACAGGGTCAATCCATAGGCGTCACTTATGCATATCACAAACCAATTTGTACTGGACTTTGCCCAATGTCAGGCAACCATGGGAATCAGAAATTATTGGAGCTTTGTTTGGGAAACTTCATAACAGCATCCTGTTACAATTATTTCTTGTTACTGAAAAGTTTTATAGATTTTGAAAATACATTGTATTAATGATAAATAAAATTTTGGATTTTTTTCTTCTTTTCTTTGGTAAATTGTGTGTAGAATTTTGTGGCAAGTTTGTTTGTTTTTCTGTAAAAACTAATTTTCTGAAGGCTATATATTTTTTTTTTTTGATGAAGTGAACTCCTTTAAAAACTAAGCTTATATTGTCTATTAATAAACATGTATTTAGATTTCTGATTTTGGGCCCAGTTTTCAAGTTGGTCCAAATCGGGTCCAAAATTAAACTGTGTTTGATTTCAACATAAATTGAATATATATAGGGTTCTTTGAAATGCTTAATCTAAACCTGTATCTCTTTTCATTATTATAAAGATAATACCACATTGAGGTCCAAAGGGTCCTAAATTAAACTTTTGTTTAATTTCATCAAAAATTGAATTCTTTGGTTCTTTGATATGCTGATTCTAACAATGTTTGAGTGTTAAATCATATCTAATTTTAGAGAAGTTAGTCATCACTGGTTGTTGTTATATGTTATTGATTATAATTTGAAAAATTGCATCATATCTTATTTTAGAGAACTATTTATCCAGTTTGAGTTATTTCCCTTTGCACAGAAAATATTATGGATAAAATTAACCTGTGTTTCATTTCAACATAAATTAAATATATATAGGGTTCTTTCAAATGCTGAATCTAAACCTGTATTTAAATATTAGATTTTTGGGCCTAGTTTACAAGTTGGTCCAAATCAGGGTCCAAAATTAAACTTTGTTTGATTCAACAAAAATTGAATTTATGGGGTTCTTTGAAATGCTGAATCTAACCATGTATTGAGATTTTGGATTGTGGGCTCCTTTATCAAATTGGTCCACATCGAGGTCCAAAGGGTCCTAAATTAAACTTTTGTCTGATTTCATCAAAAATTGAATTCTTGGGTTTCTTTGATATGCTGATTCTAATATGTACTTAGATTTTGGATATTGGACCATAATAGGTAAATGTCCAATTTCAAATATTTCAGTTCTTTGACCAAATTCATTTTGTGTCACAAACCTATGCTGAGTCAAATATTCAATCACAATCCAAATTCAGAACTGTTTTAAGCTCAAATGTAGTGTCCATACTTGCTTAAATGTTCAGGGTTCGACCTCTGCAGGAAATTCCGGTTTGCTGTCACTCTGACAGCCTCTTGTTCTTTTTGTCATAAAAATAGTCTCCAAGGATGTCTATGGTGGCGGTCTCCCCAATTCAGAGACTTGGGGATTGTGGTGGTATTTATTCCCCACCTTTGCAATTGTTGTCATTTATTCAGTTTTGTTTTATGACATAAGAAGAAGATCAACACGTATTACTTCATTATTGGGTTTGAAAGGCTTGTAGATAACATTAAACAGGTTTTTTTTTCAAGTGTGATTGTGTTTAAGGGGCTCCAATAGGGAATTGACTGCATTTTAGGATTCAAAAGGGATTCAACTATATAATTAGGTTATAAACTGATTCTAAGGCATGGGGACTTTATTATGTTATAGCATCCTTGCACAAGATCATGCTTTTCTCAGACTGTTTATGACGTCTTGAGACTAAATTGGTTGGATGTGTACTGATTGATTTTTTAGTCTGGGAAACATAATGTATGTATTACTGTGAAAGTACTTTTATCCGTGGGGTACCAATTTTCGTGGTTTTCGTGGATGGCTTTATCAAAGAATTTAAGTTTCCAACGAAATATAACAACTGTTGTCTAAATCAAGACATGCAATGAAAGATCTCAATGTATGTTTGACTACATGGATACGGGGATGTAATCTAGAGAATCGTACATCGAATATCAGCAAACGCATTATGAACTATATAAACATGACATTTGTACATCTTCAGACAGATTTAACCAATTTAATCTTTAAAAAGTATACAAAGAATAACGTTTTAATTCTCATATAAAATTACGAAAGTCAAACTGCAATGATGAAGCGTTCATTTTACCTCCTCATAATTTTCGGCAAAAAAAAAATCATATTGAGCTTGTTTTTTTTATTTACATTTGTATCATTTTTTTTGTAACTATTTTCTTTAAGTGATATGTTTATTGCCCAATTAACACCTTTGATGATTGTTAGTCTGTTGATCATTCGATCTCGGATTAATTAGTGTCATCACTTCTGAATAGATGTGTGAAACAATTAAAATGTTAGTAGTCCTTTGTTAATTTATGTATCATTGTCATTTTGCTTAGTTTCTTCTGTTACCTATTCTGACACCAGACTCAGACCTGTTTTGAACTGATTTTTCTGCGCGTATTGCCATGTGTTTGTTTATTCTGCATTGGCTAGATGTATAGAGGGAGGGTTGAGATCTCACAAAACATGTTTAATCCCACCGCATTTTTGCGTCTGTCCCAAGTCAGGAGCCTCTGGCCTTTGTTAGTCTTGTATGTTTTTTTTTATTTTAGTTCATTTATATGTTTGGAGTGTGATGTCCATTTTCCGCCTGACTGAACAAGTACACATTTTTGTTTAGGGGCCAGCTGAAGCCCGCCTCTCGGTGCGGGATTTTCTCGCTGTGTTGAAGTCCCATTGGTGGCCTTGGGCTGTTTTCTGCTCTTTGGTCGTGTTGTTGTCTCTTTGACACATTCCCCATTTCCATTCTCAATTTTACTTTGCAATTTCCTTCAATTCAATTCAAATCAATATTTTATTTATTTATTTATATATTTCAATCATGACAATTTGTAAGCATAGACGAATCAGCTTATTTCCGAATGCAACTATTTATTAAAAATATGATGAATGTTGTCAGTAATGTAAGACGAACAAGTAAGTAAAAATGAGCACCTTGTTTTGCAATCTCCCTCAAATCATTATAAAACAACATATGATTTTTATTTTTTTCAAAAATATTTGTTTGTGATGGCTTCAAAATTCATCACTCGAGTATTTTCTTCAGAAAACTAAAATCCACGAATTTAAGTACCCACGAACATGTAACTTTTGCTGAAACCATGAAAATTGATACCCACGAATAAAAGTATTTTCACAGTAGTTGTTAATGGCTTTAGACTAGCTTTCAGTATTTGGTAGTACTAGTACTCTTAGATTGACTCATTGTGTCTCTGGCTTTATTGACTTACTGTGGATTCATTATTATTATTATTGTAACAACCTTGATCATCCATGAGGGTCTCACATAGTCGGCAAGCTAACTAACTACTTGGGGGGGTATTTAACAACCTTGATCACCCATGAGGGTTTCGCATGGTCGGTATGATAACTAACTACTAAGTGGGTGTTAAACAACCTTGATCACCCATGAGTGTCTCGCATGGTCGGTAAGATAACTTAACCTTAACAAGCTAATATTTATAAACTTGGTAAATAATATTTTTAAACGTTTCAAAACAAATAATTTTAGGAGTTCCTGTGACAATAGATTGCCCATTACAAAAGAGATATTATCAAAATTATTGTTAGCGGAAATCTTCAATTGCACAGTTTTGCGCAATAGCACAGTATTGCGCAACAACACAGTATTGCGCAATAGCACAGTATTGCACAATAGCAAGAAATCTTAAATTGCACAGTATTGCGCAATAGCAAGAAATCTTCAATTGAAAAAAATACAAATCTTTTTACCAATTTCAATGGGATTAATTTAAAGTCTTTAATTTTTGGGGGTTCTAACCTTGTATTACTTTTTGGGATATTGGACCCCATTTTTAAATTGGTCTACATTGAGGTCAAAAGGGTCCAAAATTAAACTTTGTTTGATTCCATCAAAATCTGAATTATTGAAGCTGTATGATATGCTGAATCTTATTGTGCATTTAGATTTTTTATTTTGGGCCCTGTTTTGAAATAAGTCCATATTAAGGTTTGAAGGGTCTAAAATTAAACTTTGTTTGATTTCAACTAAAATTAAATTTTTGGTGTTTTTTTATTTGCTGAATCTAACCATGTTGTTAGATTTTGGATATCAGACCATTCTAGGTAAATTAAATGTCCCATTTCAAATTTTTAAGATCTTTGACATTTATTTTGTGTCAGAGACCTATATTATGTCAAAAGTTTGATCACAATCCAAATTCAGACAGTATCAAGCTTGAATATTGTGTCCAAACCTGCCCCAACTGTTCAGGGTTAGACCTCTGCGGTCGTATCAGGTTGCCTCAGCGAAGCATTTTATTAAGTATGATTTGGCAGAGGTCAACAGGGCTTGCTCTGCCAAATAAAGTATATTTTTATACGAAGGTAAAAAGAAACTGTGGGGGGTCAATTTTTTCTCATTTCAGATTTCAGAAATTATAAAGAATTATTCTTCAAATATTTTTTTTTTTTCAAATTTCAAATATTGAAAAAATTCAAGAATTAATCTTTAATTGCACAGTATGGCGCATTAGATTTGTAAAATCTTTGACCACATTTATTTATTTGTTATGCCGAATCTTACCGTGTATTTAGATTTTTAATTTTGGGTCCAGTTTTCAAATTGGTCTACATTAAGTGTTAACTATTGTGTTTTCTATTATTTTGTTTATATTATTTTCAGATATATGTTACTTGGTGGGTTTTGTTTATAGATTAGTAAAGACATTAGATTAGACAATAGATTTTATATTGAAGCCATAATTAATCAACTAACAGTGGTAGCAGAGCTAATAAAGATGGCAACAGCACCTAGTTACAAGAACCCACCAGGTTTGATCAACAATGGAAAAATGAGGTAAAAATGTGGCAACTCGTGACTGATCTGGACAAGAAGAAGAGAGGTTTGGCTTTAGCTTTGTCGTTACAAGGAAAACCAAGGGAAGTAGCCCTAGAAGTAGATCCCAGTGATTTAAATGTTGATGAAGGAGTAGATAAGCTAATAACTGAGTTGGACAAGCTTTTTGAGAAGGATAAAATAGATCAGGCTTATGCTGCTTATACTGTATTTGATCAGTTCCACAGAGGAGAGGATGTAAGCATGTCTGATTATATCATTGAATTTGAGCAGAGATATAATAAATGTAAGAAATATGATATGGGACTTCCAGACGCAATTCTAGCTTTTAAACTTCTGGACAATGCTGGATTAAGTCAAAGTTATCGTCAGCTGGCATTAACTGCATGTTCTGACCTTAAATTCGACACAATGAAATCTGCTTTGAATAGGATATTTGCATCAAAATCTCAAAATGTTCCTGGAGAACGAGACTCTGTTGTAACTGTTAAAGAAGAATCAGCTTTTGTCAGTGATGGCTATGATCAGAGAGGTCGAAGTTCAAGAAGAAATTTTCCTCGTTATCGAGCTGATAGATCTACCAACTTTAGTAGACTTAAGACTAAAATGAATCCAGTCTTTAATGGTAATGTCTCAAGTTGTAAAATATGTGATTCCAAATTTCATTGGGTCAAGGATTGTCCTCACAAGCAGCTTGATGTAAATTTAACAGAACATGAGAGTGATGAATTAAGTGAAACTATAAATATAACATTATTTACCTCAGCACAAGAGTTTAAGCCTCTAACAGTGTTTGTCGCAGAAGCCTACAATGCCGCAGTTATTGATACTGCATGTTCTAAAACAGTATGTGGTTCTAAATGGTTGTATGAATTTGTAGAATCACTTGATCCAGGGCTTGATCAAATTACTTGTTTTGAAAGTCATGTACCATTCAAGTTTGGTGATGGACAAACAGTATACTCATATCAGAAAGTGAAAATCCCAGCACTAATTGGGTCAGTTAAGTGCTCAATTGAAACAGAAGTAGTGGATTGTGAAATACCGTTATTGTTAAGTAAAACCTCTCTGAAGCGAGCAAGCACTATCCTTGATCTCAGCAATGACCAGGTTACCATGTTTGGACAGTTAGTGGATGTGAACATAACTTCAAGTGGTCATTACTGTATCAACATTAAAGACAAGCAATATACAAACAGAAACAAAAATGAGAGTGAGGAGGTTTTGTGCATTGATACAAAATTATCTTTTAAGAAGAAAAGGGAGATTCTATTGAAGTTGCACAAGCAGTTTGGACATGCATCATCAGATAAATTTTTATCCCTTTTGCAAAGTGCTGGTGATGTTGATTCTGAAACAAAGACAATTCTTAAAGATATCTGCTCAAAGTGTTTAATTTGCCACAAGTTCAAACATCCAAAAGCCAAACCAGTGGTTGCCTTTTCACATGCAAATGATTTCAATCAAATTGTGGCAATGGACCTTCATGAAATTGACCATAACTTTTATTATCTACATATTATTGACTTATTCAGCAGATTGAGTGCAGCTGCTATCATCAGAAGAAAGGATTCTAAAGTTATTGTAGACAAGTTCATGCAGATATGGGTTGGTGTTTATGGTGCACCTGAAGTTGGTGTTTATACAGATAATGGAGGAGAATTTAATTCACAGATATTTAGAGACATGGCAGAAAATTTGAATATGTCAGTAAAAACAACAGCAGGATACAGTCCATGGTCCAATGGAGTAGTTGAAAGACAATGCAACTCTAACAGAAACCATCAATAAAATGAGAGAGAGCTCTAATCTTTCATGGGAGACTGCCGTCAGTTGGGCAGTTCATGCTAAGAACAGTTTGTTGAACGTGTATGGCTATAGTCCATATCAAATAGTTTTTGGAAGGAACCCAAACATGCCATCATCTATAGTTAACAAGCCTCCTGCATTAGAAGGTACAACCATTAGTAACGTTATGGGAAAACATCTAGTTGGCTTACACGAAGCTAGAAAAGCATTTATTGCGGCAGAATCCTCTGAGAAAGTTAGAAGGGCACTACGCAAGCAAATCCGGCCTTCAGGAGAAAAATTCAAAAATGGTGACAAAGTTTTCTTCCTTCGAGACAATCAGTGGAAAGGACCTGGCTGGGTAATAGGTCAAGATAATGTAGTTGTTTTTGTAAGATATGGAGGTACATATGTGCGCGTACATGAAAGTAGAATAAAAAGAGACATTGATGTTGAAAGAAAACAAAAGATTACTCATAAGCATACAGCAAAGTCAACTCATGTGCGTAAGTCGCAAGCTGCAACCTATAACAACAACAACAACACTGAACCAGATCATGACCTAGTATACTATGAGAGTGATGATGAAGAGCCTCTTCACAATGATACTGACAATGATGAAAACCAAGAAAATGTTGAAGGATCTGCAGACGAGAGTGCTGCTGATAGTGCTGATCAAGATGATAGTCATGCTGGTAGCCAGAATGGTAGTTTGAATGGTGAAGATAGTCCTGAATCTGATGAGAGAGACAGCCTTGATTTGGATCAGGCAGAGAATGATATACATGAGGAAAGTATGGAACATAATGCTGAGTCACAGGCAAATGATTGTATGAAATTAAAGAAGGATCAGATGGTGAATTTTAAAATTACTGGTGAAAATGACACAAGAGAAGCAATAATTTTAGGCAGGGCAGGAAAGGCTACAACTGATAAGAAGAGCTGGTACAATATAGAATACAATCAGCCAGAAAATATTAGGGGTGAACAGATTTCAATTGATCTAAGAACAGTCAATTATTTAAAAGTTGTAAACCAGTCAGATGACGAGAATGAAGATGTACTTTTAAGTGATATTGATTTTACCGAGGCTAAAGAGGCAGAACTGGATAACTGGAGAAAGCACAATTTGTATGAAGAAGTTAAAGACAATGGTCAAAACTGTATCTCCACAAGGTGGGTTTACACTATGAAAGAATTGGAAAACGAATTTCATAGAAAAGCTAGATTGGTAGCAAAAGGTTTTGAAGAAGACAGCCTAGATGAGATACCAAAGAATTCTCCAACATGTGAAAAGCAGTCTCTACGACTGATTTTATCAATTATTGCTAATAAAAGATGGTCAATTAATTCAGTGGATATTAAAACTGCTTTCCTGCAAGGAGAGAAAATGCAAAGAGAAGTCTACTTGAGACCTCCTAAAGAAGCTAAAGCAAATGGTAAAGTCTGGCGCCTAAACAAATGTGTATATGGTCTTGCTGATGCATCCTTAAAGTGGTACGAAATAGTTAAAACAACATTGCTAGATTGTGGAGGAACAGTGTCAAAGATTGATTCAGCAGTATTTTATTGGTATAATGAAAAAGGTTTGACTGGTGTCCTAGCAGTTCATGTAGATGACTTTCTTAGGGCAGGATCCAGTTCCTTTGAGGAAAGTGTTGTATCCAGAATTAGGGATATGTTCAAGGTAGGGAAAGAATCCTGTGAGTCTTTCAAATATTTGGGTCTTGATCTCAGCCAAGAAAATGAAACTATTGTTCTCAGCCAGAAAGACTATGTCAAAATGTTGAAGACTGTTTTAATAGATAAAGACAGAGTTAAAACGTCTCCTCTTTCATCATCAGAGCAGACTCTATTGAGGTCAAAAATAGGACAATTATTATGGTTAGCAAGACAAACACGTCCAGACATTGCATTTGATGTTGCTGCCATTTCATCAAAAATTAAGACTAGCACTATTGAAGATCTAAAGAAAGTCAATAAGATAATAAGGAAGGTGCAAAATGATCCTGTTTCACTGCAATTCCAGAATCTTGGACATAATGTGAAATTTATGTTGTTCAGTGATGCTTCATTTGGAAATCTTCCAGATGGTGGAAGTCAAGGTGGTTATGTTGTCTTTTTGATGGGCGATGATGGTAAAGTGAACCCCATCACTTGGCAGTCTAAGAAATTGAGAAGGGTTGTACGTAGTACTTTGGCAAGTGAAGCCTTGGCCTTAGCTGATGGTGTGGATTGTGTAATATCTTTAGCAGCTCTGTTTAAGGAATTAATGCATAATGAGCACGAATTGAAGCATACTCCAGTAACTTGTTTTGTTGACAACAAAGACCTTTATCATGCAATATACTCTGATAAACCTGTTGGAGAGAAGAGATTGAGGGTGGAGATCAATGCAATAAAGCAATTGCTTCAAGATGGAGAGCTTAAAGAAATTAAATGGATTCAGACTAATGAACAAATCGCCAATGTTCTTACAAAGCATGGTGCTTCTGGACAAGACATCTTACGTTGTTTTGAAAAAAGGACTTTTGAATTCAAGCCATTTGTAATTGGTGTAACTGACAATAAAAAAAGGAGAAGAAAGATCAGATAAATACTACTTGATATTATGACATTTCAATTGCCTTTATTTTCGTTATTATTTGGACATTAACATTTCTAATGAAAAGAGAAAAGGATTACTAGTAGATTGTTAACTATTGTGTTTTCTATTATTTTGTTTATATTATTTTCAGATATATGTTACTTGGT